AAACAGCAGGAATGGTGACTACTATGGTTGAAAGTAAACACAGTGAGGGCTGCAGTATGGTTAGGCAGCGAGGGCTGCAACAACTTTGGACAGATGTTGACACAGCGAAGGGTGCAGTATGGTTAGGCAGCGAAGGCTGCATAAAAAGTTAAATGTAGACACTGTGAGGGCTGCAGTATGCAGCAGGAACGGTGACTACTATGGTTAGAAGTTAACACAGCAAGGGCTGCTTGATGGATGGAATACAATTTAACAATCAGATTAAAAACTAACAACAATTTTATGATGGTGACACAATAAACTTACAATCCATGCAAGAAAGCACAGGATCTGTGTCACAAATACACCTCTGTAATTTACATAAGCACATGTGCTACTAATAGAGCAAATATGGTGTTAAACACACTACCAACAGTGGTGTGTCCCTGAAGCTTTGACTAGAACTGGCTCTGCTGACTACAATGAATAGCAGTAACCAATCCACACATGTAAACACACAGCATGTCAGTTGATATACCCAGTAGTAGATCCACAGTTGGAAACCAATCTGATCCACAGGTTAAGAGTACTATATTTGTATTGCTAGTACCACATACGCTTACATGTAAACGACACGTGCGTGTCTAGATCAAATTAAGACGCTTTTAATAAAATAGAATCAATCCAATGTTAGTTCATATTCGCTTCTATTGAAGATTTCTAATAAAGCAAAAAAGGTAATATAGAAAAATCTAGAGGTGAGGTACTGTAAAATACTTTATTTTAGCTGGAATTAATTTTCACTGAAAAGACTTGTATGATTTGAATGGAATTTATTTTCACTAAATTTTTGACAAGTTGAATGTAAAGTATAGGAAAACAGGTATCTTCGCTGGATTTTATTTTTACTGAATCATTCCTTCAGCGAAAATAGCGAAAATTAATTCCAAGCGAATAAAAAGTATTTTACAGTAAACTGCTTAATTTTCACTTAGTTTTGTGATTTTGAGGCATTCGTGAAGAAAGATTTTGTGAAAGTCGATGACAATCTTTGTTCCTATTGTATTCATTGAAAGCATTGAATCATAGATACTGTAGAAAACAGATCTACTATGACCCTTGCTTGTAAAAGCATGCTGGCTCGTGGTTTTGAAAAAATGAGAGAGAAATGACATTATTAATAACTATGGTTCTCTCAGACATTTTAGACAGGGCAGTGGAGGCATTGAAATTAGCAGACATGCTTCGACATGAATCTAGGGATAAAACTCAGTGGACAAAAACGCAACACTGAAAAGCGCCCTCTAGTGTTAACTTACCATGATTGATGGTTAAAACTTTCCTGGATTGCAGCTGTATGTACTCAGAAATTGGTAACTGGGCGTGATTGAATCCTGCTTTCACTGCTCTCTGGTAACACAATCCCTGAATGAAACATTCAACATGCAAGCAGCTTAGAAAGACCATAGACATTAGAAAACAAGTATGTGGGAAAACTCGTTTGGTTTTGCATAATGCTACCCATCCAAAAAGACTGACAAAATAGGGTTTGACGATATTATAAAGTCATTGTTTATATTGGAACATGTTCAGTTATTTGCTCTGTGTCATTTATTTGATGGAACTTTTTTTGCTAAGCAAAATATCAAGAATTTCTGCATATTTCACTAATTAGCAGTGTCCACACCTGAAGGGATAGGGTGGCAGAATGAAATAAATGCAGTTTGAAACTGAATTAGTAAATGTACAACATCTGTAAAACGATTTATCATGCTACATAGTTTTCAGCCAAAGATAAAACAACTGAGCCATTCATACTGTGCTAAGCTTGCATATAGCCAACTGCACAGATTTCTTCATATCCAACACTGAGGGCGCTATTACACATTATGACAAAATAGTAACAATCAATCCCCGAGAGGCTAATAAAGGTCATGACATAATATTCAGTTGGTGCAATGCAATGCAATACAAACAAAATAAACATTCATGTTTACATGAAGCTCTATTGTTCTCATAAACTTTACACAATCCCTTATAATGCTTACATTGGTATATGAGAGGTTTTCATGCAAAGTGGTAATGAACTTTAAAGCTATATTATAATCATCTGTTAAACGTAATTAACTCTGAGTTCCATTGTCAACTTTTGTCACCATCTACAGAATGATTTTTATACAGTCCGCCTATCTCCATCTCTTATGAAAGAATTTTTGTGCATGAAGAGGTCACTGACCTTTGAGATGACATTCTTCAACTACATGGTCAAACCAGTCTATCAATTCAATGGGTCAATGACTCGCACAATGTAATGTACGGTATTAGTTTGGGTAACATGTTTTCATGTGGACTTACTTGAGTGATAAATTTAATGTTACATGTTTTCACAGTTCATATTATAATTATTATAACATGTATGTTTCTACTGGAGGGTCTATGGTTATATAACATAATTAATTAAGGTCTGCACTGAATATATCGGCTCAAATCTTAAAAAAGTATATATTTGATTTTCTCTTGATTTGTATCAGTATCTTGTATCAGTCTCTGAAAATATGCATCGTATTCTGCCTAAGCAAAAAAAATTATAATAACAAATTATCTTTGGCTATAGCCGAAATGTTTTCATAGTTTTTCTAGCTGCTCCTTTTGTACCCACCTACACTCATTCAGCTTTCTATTAAAAACTGTTTCAAATCTGTCGCTGACTTCTTTTGGGGTTGCCTGTTTATTGTTATTTTGACTTTTTATATTTTTGTCCTACCTACCCTCGCCTGTTGCTTAGTAAGTAATGTATATAAGCAAAAAGATTTGTAACATGTCCGACTGAAATTCAGGAATAAATAAGAATCGATTGTTTTGACAAATACCACTGATGCAAGAAAATGTTAGGATGTAGAGAAGGATCCAATTCCCATCTATTCAATCAATTGCTTTATAATAATACTGATATAATTTTGTAACATCAATTTATTAAACCATTTGACGAGTACAACTTATTAATCATGAAAAATTAAAAAATACATTTATTCATTTAATTAATTTCCAAAGTTTTGAAAAAAAGGTTACTGAAGTTAACCTCCCATTTGTCAGTTGATGTCATATACTAAAATCTGAGAAAGAAAGTCACTGTCTAAAAGAGATTCTCATCACACTCACGAAAGTTAGTCCGAAGTCATCAACCTGATTGAGAGCTGCAATTGAGACTGATTCACTAAATATAACCTTTTCACCACCAGATTTTCTTGCCCAAATTTGTCTGTACTTTTTTCTCATATTCTTCAAAATTGCGGGAAATTAACTCGAATTTTGGAGCCAACAGACAAAATTTGAGTCAATTTTCAGTTTTTACTGAAAAGAATTGGCTATGTTTGTCCCAATTTTCTGAAGGAAAGTGCAGACTATAAACGGGACTAATTTTGTGAATTTGTGATGAAAAGAGAGAACAGGTGGTGGAAAGATTAAGCAAAGCTTACCTTATGATGATTATGGTCAACCAATCCCCCAATGATGTACGCTTTATCAGCTTCAAGAGTTTCTAGCACATTAGGTGAGTCAGATGTCAAATATACTATTCTGTCATTTTCAAAAACTTCACCGACTTTTTCAGGTTTTAAATAAACCTATAAAAACAAATACGATTTTTTTTTCAATTACCTCAGTATTTATAATTTAGATGTCACCTTGTGCTTTTTCAGATGTATGAGTTAGTAAACAAGACTTTATATTTGTTTACACATGCTTATCTACCCACATTTCTCTAACTATTCAATCAAAATATTGAAAACCATTAAATGTTTGCCACTAAAAAGATTTGCAATTTGATAATTTAAACAGCGATCATAAGAACAATATTTCCAGGAGTCGTAATTGGTTGTCTGCCAGTTGTCTTGCATAACCACATTTGTCACGACATAACCAAATTTGAAAACTGTCCATTGGATAACCACGAAAATAAATACAAAAATAAAAATATTACATAGTTCAATATATAATATTACACAGCTCCTAAATTTTTGTTGAAAATAGAATCAGATTCTATGATTGACTGAAGTCATGGTCACCAACAATTATTCATGTTTATTTTGCGAAAAAAGTTGAATTTAGGTCCCGATTTCACAAAAGCCAATGTACTTAACTTACTCAATTTTATTTGACTGGTATATCATAACAACCCATATTGCAGTTGATAAAGTATGTGAAAACTTACATCCCAGTTTTTGTATCCTTGTACACATTCTTCAATTTTCCCTAAAGTTTTTCCACCAAGACTGCATAGATAAAACTGCAAAGGGGTTGGTGATCTTCGGTTTTCAGAATAAGACCTCTGGATTTGTTTCACAAATTGACGAATGTCCTGCAAGAGTAGTAAAGTACGATTATGATGGTGCAGTAGATACACAGCAGCACAGGAGATACATATCTGTATGATGATGGTGCAGTAGATGCACAGCAGTACAGTAGATACATATTCATGATGGTGCAGTAGATGCACAGCAGTACAGTAGATACATATTTATGATGGTGCAGTAGATGCACAGCAGTACAGTAGATATATATTTATGATTGTGCAGTAGATGCATAGCAACACAATAGATGCATTTCTGTATGATGATGGTGTAGTAGATGCATAGCAGTACAGTTGATACATATTTATGATGGTGCAGTAGATGCATAGAAGTACAGTTGATACAAATTTATGATGGTGCAGTAGATGCACAGCGGTGCAGTAGATATATATTTATGATGGTGCAGTAGATGCACAGCGGTGCAGTAGATGCACAGCGGTACAGTAGATACATATTTATGATGGTGCAGCAGATGCACAGCAACACAACAGATGCATATCTGTATGATGATGGTGCAGTAGATGCACAGCAGTACAGTAGATATTTATTTATGATGGTGCAGTAGATGCACAGCAGCAC